TTCCTGTACACCTCCACGAGTTTCTTTTTCCTTCTCGCGGCTCTCCCTTCCGCGGAATCTTGCGCACTCGTCGTTCTCTCTCTCTCTCGCACAAAACGGGAAACGCACGCTGGAAAGCGCATACGCAGTCACTCTCATTTCCACCATGTGCCATTCCTGCCTATCTCACTGACATTCCCACTGCGTACGTGGATTGTTTCCTTTTCCTTTTCGTTCTATCGTTCACCCCCGCGGAACACTCCGTTATAAGTCCCCTTTTTTTTTTCGATTTTCCGCTCTGCTCTTTCCCTTTGTCTCATCCTACCTTTATCTTTCCATCTCTTCCATCTCTTTTCCCCATTTCTCTCCGTATTTCATTTAACTACAGAGAACGCATTCTCGTTACGCGCATCACATTACGAGTGACATCCCGAAGCCGCATCCGATTCACGCATTGCGAACCTTGGATATTCCATCAACTTCGCGCTATCTTCGCCACCTTTACGCTATCCTCGCCGCCTTCATTCACCCTCATGCTTCCTCTCGCACCTGCCTATATCTTTTGACGCGTCTATGACAGTGGTTCGCAATTTTTCTGATATCTCTCTGCATTAATTTTAAAAATTATTTACAGATAAAATTATTGCAAGCGATATTTATGTTTTTCAATTGTCAAAAGATGGTTGTAATTTTCAATAATTCCAGCCATAGAGTATTTTGTATATTGCAATCTTCTCCAAAATCACTTATATTAGAGCTGAATAATATAATATAATTGAAAAAATTGATACAATAAATGATTGATAAGGAATTATAATATAATATAGCAATTAACACTCGTTTGAGAAATTAAGAAAATTTAATCAAAACGATAAATTTTTTTCTTTTGCAGTAATCATGCCCGATATGACTTCTGTGAGACGACGATGAGCCAATTTGAGCGTCACTGACGCGTCTCGTAACTCGCATAGGATTCCGAGGGGTAAAATCGACGTTGGAAACGTAGGGGCGAATAGGTAAGTGAATCTGTTACATAGGTTCGGCAGGGGTTCGGATTGCTTTGGGCGATTCCCTCCTCCTTCGATTCAACACCCCATTGCGCTCCCAGTCACCATTGTACATTCGTAGTCGCTGCTTATCCTATCGCAGGTATATTCACCCCCGCTCCTTTTGTAGTATCGCCATGTAGTTACATGGAAATCAAAGCGAAACTCGAATCGAACTAACATTATTGCTATTCAATAAAACACTCACCGACTTGATTGACTTTTTTGAGAATCGCTCGTCTTCCAACGAGTCGATCAGTTTGCATCTCGCTCGAGGATAAACGTGGTTTAATTCTAAAAGAACGCGAGACAAATTTTGAACAAGTTGGATTATATAACAGATACATGTACATATACGAGTACATACGTTTCCCCATACATTTTATTTAGCTACATAAATTGTACCCAAAGTTTAATGTGGAGCGAAGGGACTTTTGTATTTAAGCCTCGGAATAGTGTACTCGTAAATAACCACCGTAATAAATTGTTCGTATTTATATATATAACATAAAGTAGTCTCTCAACCTGCAGAATATTAATTAAAAAAACCTGCAGAGCATTAATTAATGTCTTTAATTTCATAGAAGATTCAAAAATTCAAGATTATTAATGTAAATAATTTATAATGAATAATGCAACTGTGCAAAAAAGTATTTTGATTCTACAATTGCGCGCTGAAATAATTTGAAAATAATATTGCCGTCTTCTATTAAATAAAAAATTTTTTAATAAACATTTTACAGAGACTAAACATTCTCGGCATGTATGATACATATATATTGGCAGTTTATATAATCATATATAACAATAAAACGTGAAACATAATATAATATTACCGTATATGTATATTTTCTATCACTTTCATTATTTTTTTTTCTTTAATTCTTGGAAATGTATTTTTGCGCACATTTCTCCCGTGTAAAGCAACACATTTTCGCTCTTACCGTTAAATTCAGTCGGGATTGTATTGTACATTGTAAATCAGATAAAATGTGAAAAATATGAATAAACCTTCTAATGAAAAATATTGAATCACATATCGTGACCTCGGTTCATATTCGGCTAAATGTGAAACATAAAGCGTAATTATATATATTTCACGAATTTTAATTAGTGCCCAATAAATGTCCGTTACGTAAAGCGTAAATTTTAGCGCAAATTTCCATCCGGGACAATTCTACACATTTAGACTGCTTACTTTACACAAAGTTTATCAAAATCAAATAAAAAGCACAAAAGAATGAAAATTTTTTTCATTTTTTTTATTTATCAAAAATTTATGCTGTAAATAAAAGAACCGGCGGACGCTTGGTCGCGTGAAATCGATCGTTGGTCAGATCCCCGACCTCGGAAAACTGCAAAAATCAGTAATATGGGGTTTTTCGTTGCAAAAGCGCCCCGTCACGCTGGAGCCGCACACATATACATAGTATTATTTATTTTGTAAACAACTCCGCAACATCCGCGGCCGAGCGTGAAAGTGAGGCTAGTTTATTTCGTTTCCGTTTGTCCCGCACCAATTCAATTTCGGAGTAAAAAAAAGCGCCGTGGGTTAAGTGACAATCCCCCGTGTGGCTTCCCGGTTTTTTTTTATATTTGCTTCATTTTAGAAAAATCATGACTCGGCACACGTAAAAAAAACATTCTTTATTTGTACAAAGTACTCTCGATTACAAAATGGAAATTTAATAAACACTTTGCTCTTAAATTTATTCAATGTGAAAAAGATATGCGCACACGTAATGTAGCGACAAAGAAGAAGATTATTTATTAAATTAGAGTGAATGCATCTGGATAATAATGAATATTCGATAAGTAATTTAAGGCATTTTGGCAGGGATGGAAACACATATCTAAATGAAGTACTCAGAAAAGTAGTGTAAATTATCTTTCTACAGTAAGAAATAAAAAATTAAAACAATAGCTCTCATTGTGAAAATTTTTTTATGATATTAACAAAAAGAATTTTTAGTTTAATATCATTTCAGATTTATGTTGTTTGATATACAGAAAAATTCGACGACACATAAAGAAATTTGTGTTATTTTTACTCAAATACAGAAATAATTATTACGGCTCAAATATAAAAGTTATCGTCTAGATTTAAATCATGCTGTGCATGTTTTGTAAAGAATTATTATCGGTTTATAGATTTTTATATGTTAGTCATAATGTACTTTGTATAATGCTTTTTTATATAAGAGTTCGCGCAAAAGTGACTGTTGCAGCCATCGTAAGAACTCGTCAGCGTTGTTTTTAACATTATATACATTTTATTAATTTTTTTTCTCGCATAGACCGTCTTGCAGGACAAGGGTCTCTTCGAGCGTAACCAATTCGGGAAGATTTAATCAACCGAGCGAGCATCGTGCCTCAGATCGGTTCGTTAACCTTAGTTTAATTTTAAAACACGGTGCGAAGCATTAAGGCCATTTTTTGCGAGCGATTTGCACTCGCGCCTGGCTGATTGAAGAGCGCGAAAACAAAACGAATAGAAGATACAGAAAAGAACGAGATGAAAAATGCCAGCAAAACGCTTTCTATCGCACGCTAGTTGTTTGTTGCATAATTTGTATCGAGAAGTCGACACTTAACGCCGCTTCAACGAATTACATGTAAAAAATATTATATATATTCAGAAAATTACATAGTATCATTTAAAGTAAATTTCACAAAAATTTAAGAACTTATTCAGCCATAAGCGTTTTTTATCTTTAATATTTCACATTTATAACTGTGTCCATCAAATCGCTGATGACATACATTTCAAAGTACAAAGACACATATATATAGAAGCAAAAATGTCAGATATAAATAACGATTGATGCAAAAATATATCACAAGTCATGATAGAGATTGATTATATTTTTCGTCCGCAGATTACTGCCGATAATTCTCAAGAACCTTTACAGCCATTCGTCAGCCTCGATTTTCGTCGGCCGCGTATACCTTCATCCGTGTCCTCCACCGACCTCTATTTACTTTTATTCCCTCCATTATTCGAGCTTTTACTATGCCGCCGATAGAGGCAGGGGCTGCTCGATAATACACACTTTTATTTTCATTCCCACGCCCGAGTGGCTCGCTCTCTCGAAGCAGTAGCAGCGGCAGCAAGCCGATATACCACTTGTTCTTTTCACGTCATTTTTAACGAACGGATATGATATCCCCGTAGTCTTGCTATAATGCAGAATAATCAATACCGGGGCCATCGCACGGCCGTGTGCCGACATGTCGATGGATAGGATATTAAAAGTTTGACGTTTCGTTATCGATGGCTTCCATAAGCCAGTGACTAGTTGACTCACGACTAGTTGGTGCGGTCGTTAAAAATGTGAAAGAAAGTTGCATTACTATCACAATGTATGTACTCAGTATGAATAGTTGACCACGTTTTGTATTAAAGTTACTGTAAAAAAAAATGCTACGAGAATAGTGATGAAAATGATTTCGATGAGCCGCAAATTTAATCGTGTGAACACGGTAACTTTAATTGCATTAAGCATGCGGTAAAATTTTATTTGTCGTTAAACAAATAGAACAATGTATTGGAAAAACTAACAGTATCTGAAATTTACTTTTACAACGACAAAAATTAATAAAAAACCTTTGGCAATCCATATTTTTAATTCTCCATAAATTTAGTTTTGTTGCACGAGAAGCATAGTTCCGATCGGAATTGTTTAATTTTATAGGTCGGGAAAAAAGAGAAATATGGTCCTATAAAATTTATTGGCGCAAAGTTTTTTCAAATAAAAAAAGACCATTTAAGCAACTTGATGTAAAATGACAATCTTTATTTAACAGTCTAAAAATTAACGATTCTAATTTCTGCATAAATTTAAAATAATAATTACAAAAATAAATAATAAAATATATGATATAATATATAATCGCCAATATAAGCAAGTAAAAATTACAAGATTGATAAACAACACGGTGTTAAAAATTTTGTGTAAAGAAGTTTCATGGGGGGAGAGAGAAAGACAGAGAAATAGGTTTTCTCGCGCTCTATAAAGTTCCCATCAAACAGAATGTTTTAATAAGGCTCGTAAGTAGCATTCGATGTGTCAGAGTATAAGACCTAGGGAAGATGAAATGCACAGCTGTGCGTAAAAGGGATGAAAGGGAAGGAAACGAGTATAAAAGGGAGGCCGCTGCGCGGAAAAGCGGGACAGCTAGATAGCGCTGTGTATATACGTGTGTGTATGTGTGTGTGTGTGTGTGTGTGGCAGCCACGCACACCGAAAACTCGAGTTCACCAGCAGCGAGAGGCGGCTGTAAAAGTACG